CTGTTCAACAAAAAGTCAACCTAATATGCTGATGCTGACAGTGAAAGACCAGTAAGATAAAGAAATAAAACTGTTCAGATGATTTCAAGGATAAGGTAAGTTCTATAGTTGTTTCTTTTCATGAAAGTATACTAAATAAAATAAAAGAATAAAATTAAAATTTATTCAAGAAATATTTAATTCCACACTTTCTATGTTTCAGGCACTGATATAGATGCTTGAGGACCAGATAACAAAACCGGTGAAACCCTTACCTTCATTGGCCTGAATTCTGGCAAAAGAGACAAAATAAGCAATTGGCATAATGATTAAAAAATTATCTTGTGTATTAAAAAATAATAAGAGCTAAATTTAAAAAGGGAAAAAGAACCTGAAACTGAGTAAGAAGGATCAGAATTGCTAGAGGATGGACATGTTGTATTTATTTTATTGATCAGAGGAGGCCTCATTGAGAAGGTGAGGTCAACAGATACCCAGGCAGAGGAAACAGTCGGGGGAAGAACTCCAAGGAATATGCTGGCGTCTTCATGGAACAGAAAAAATGCTAGTGTGACCACAGTAGTCTTAGCAAGAAGGAGAGTGGTGTGAAGAGAGGCCAAAAATAGGAAGACAGATCACGCAGGGCCTTGGAAGCCATCAAAAGGCATCTGTGTGTTACTCTGACTGAAGCAGAAACCACCGCAGGATTCGAGCAGTCGAGTACTGTCTTTGGACCTGCGGGTTAAAGAGGACCCGCAGTTCTGCACAACTCAAATGTTCATAGTGCTAGATGCAAACTATACCTAAACAAAACTGGAGGAAGGAAACAATTCATTAACCTGCTGCAATGTGAGAGATCCAGGTTTGATCCCTGGGTCAGGAAGATCCCCTAGAGAAGGAAATGGCAACCCACTCCAGTATTCTTGCCTGGAAAATTCCATCGACAGAGGAGCCTGGAAGGCTAGTCTATAGAGTCAAAAGAAGTCCGACATGACTGAGCATCTACCATTTCACTTCATAATTGATTGTTAAATATCTTAAAATTTATCATTCAATATATTGTATAACTTTCATCATGTAAGTCCCAAACTGATTTCTCTTTCCTATACACTCACTTACATTCCATTACTAAGAAAATATAATAATAATTGAGTTTAATTATTCAGATTATGCATCAATAGAGATGTTCAGTTTGAAATATTAAATTGACTCAAACCCATTCCCCCCTTATTAATTTCTGAGACATAATGATACAAATAATTTCCCAGAACTTTTTATTTGAAATAACATATGGATGTTCAGGCTAAGAATTTTGAACAGAGAGGAAACCACAATAATAACTGAAATTTACAACACTGTATTTACTAAGGTTTTCAAAGCCTTCCAGTTATTATGTATTAACCCTCTACTATAGGCCAGTCACTGCTAAATCCTTTGCATATATCATTGTAATTAATATTTATCAAAAACCCTAAGAATAGTCACTGTAATCCCATTTTATAGACAACAGATGTGTCCCCAGAGAGATGAAGTACTGAACTGATGAAGTACAGGACTGCTCAGTACCCGGGCTCAGAATTCACCTAAAACCTTCACAGTTTAAAGTTATGTTCTCTCTACCAAACTACACCACCTTCCTGCAGCATGATGCTCAACATATGTCCTCGACATTCCCAACCCAAAGGTCAGCCAGATGTGAGTAATCCCATTTTACAGATGATTAACTGGTCACAGAAAAGTTAATCAAGCAATCAACATTTATTTTATGGCTACCATATGCAAATCAATATTTAGTTCCTGAGAGTGCAAAGGATTTATGATACAATATCTTGCCTCAATAAGTTTACAATCTTGTTAAGGTAACAAGAGACACATAAAAAGATAATAAATAATCCAAGATAGCACATAATAAGTACCAAATGAGATACAGAGCCAACGACTGCTAAAGAAATTCAGCAGAGAGAAAATTGAATCTGGGTGTTTCAATTCAATCAAGAGTGCTACTAAAAAGGACCCATGTTGAGGTGGTCATCACAGGAAAAGTTTAGTTCAGCAGAAAGGATGAGGAATTATTCCCCAGAAAGAGTTAATATGATCAAACGCCAAGGGTGTGTTAGTCTCTCAGTTGTGTCCAACTCTCTGCAACCCCATGGACTGTAGCCTGCCAGGTTCCTCTGTCCATGAAATTCTCCAGGCAAGAATATTGGAGTGGGTTGCCATTTCCTTTTCCAGGGGATCTTCTCGACCCAAGGATGGAACTCAGGTGTCCTGCATTGCAGGTAGATGCTTTACCTTCTGAGCTACTAGGGAAGCCAGCCAAGGGAGAAGATGTGAATGGATTATCAAAAGAAAATGGATAGATGTGTTTGAAGTGCAGGATGCATGAGTGGCAAAGTAAAAATGAAGCCAGAGAAGTAAACTGTAAAAGTTTTGGTTGTCAAAGTAGGAACCTATGGAAGGAGCAAAGGAATTGGTTGTGTTTAAATGCCAGTACCTGGCATTTGCTTTGGTATACACTTTTATTTATGTAATCCTTTCAACAAACCTATAATATAGAAGGTAAATATATCCTGTCATTGTAAACAGAAGGAAACAGATTACCTGGACAAGGATGGTTTTGAGTGTGAAGATGGAGCAGGAATTCTAATCTAGATCAATGTGCATGCAAGGACTATACTACTTCCACTTCCCCTTCATCATTGTCTACAGAAAGCAATGGGGAGCTTTAAAAGGCATTTGATCAAGACAAGAGGGGTCTCCCTGGTTGCTTAGCTGGTAAAGAGTCTGCCTGCAATGCAGGTGACCCCAGTTCAGTTCCTGGGTTGGGAAGATCCCCTGAAGAAGGGATAGGCTACCCACTCCAGTATTCTTGGGCTTCCCCAGTAGGTAGCTCAGACAGGTAAAGAATCCTCCTGCAACACAGGAGACCTGGGTCCAATCCCTGGGTTGGGAAGATCCCCTGGAGGAGGGTATAGCAACTCCCTCCAGTCTTCTTGCCTGAGAACCCCAAGGACAGAGGAGCCTGGAGGGCTGTAGTCCATGGGGTTGCAAAGAGCTGGGCATGGCTGAGTGACTAAGTAGGCAAGGTGAGAGGGTAACATATGAAAAGTATTGACTAACAGAAGACTATTGTGACTGTGAAATATTAGCACAAGTCCAATGTCAGAGAAGGACTCGGGAAGGAAGTCACCAGGCAAGAAGCTGGAAAGCCACTTATCTACTGCATTAACCTACAGAATGAGCGACAAGGATTTATATTCAAATGCTGCTAATGGAAGTAAAAAGAATGGAAGAGGTATTTAAAAAGAAATATGAAGAGATAAATGGCAATACCCATGTCCTTTAACAGGTATTTTTTATGTTCCTCGCAGACAAAATCCAAGATCTAGCTCAAATATTTTAAGTTTTTTGACAGCACATGATTTATTTAAAAATAATAAAATCTATACATTGGAAAAACTATCTGCCTTAGTGCACTCTCCCTCTCAAACCACCATCAACTGTGGCAGCCTCATGCTAGGCACACTTCTATTGTATGAGTTTGGTATTAGCTCCTTGCTATATATATTAACATGGACAGGAATGCCTTATATTCACGATCATTAAGTGTGTTAATTACTAAGGAAATACTTTTTTCTATTAGTTTTTACTTTTAATAGACAGTGTATATTAAGCAATCGAATTCTCTCCGAGAGATAGAACACACCATAATTCTGAGGTTATTCCCTCCCAGTAATTCCTTCTTAAAATGCCCGGTACCACTCAGGATTCAAGTTCAAAACTAGTAGCAATTAAATGGCACATTACTTAAAACAAGTTGAATCTTTTCCAACTATTCTGACTTCTGGGCAATGAAAATCATACAATTGCCAAATATATATAGAATTAACCATCTTTTATATTTTTCAAAGACAATATTGACATGGGCATCCAGGTATTTAGTCACTACACATCTTTTTTTTTTTTTTTTTCACTACACATCTTTTGAAGCAATTTAAAAAGGCAAAGTTGCCAACCAGGTAATAATCAGGCTAACTACATAAATCTTTGTCAGTACCAAGCATTCAGCTAATTTGTCTTAATTTTGAATTAGTCATTAAGCTGAATATCCTAATCAGTATAACATACATTTGATAAGTGTGTGCATTCATATATCTGCACATATATGTGTGTACACATGTACATATATGTACATATACATATATATATCTTATTGGAACTGATGAGTAACAGTATTTTTACCCAGAATTCTTTTAGGAATTACACATCTACCCTATTTACACCTAGTATCCTTTGTATCACCCAACTATGCTAAAAGATAATTAAAAATTAACATATTAGCCAAGCTTAATTTCCTTTACCTGTATGTAAAAAATAAAATAGATTTGTTTTTCTGAGTTGAGAAAGAACATTTAAATTTGATTTCAAACTGTGCCACAGGCCAGTAACTTAGGTCTACAGCTAAAGTAGATCCAAAATATCTTTGAAAGTTTCAAGAATGCTCAACCGAAGCTATACCTTAGAAAAGTCACCTGCATGTGTAAAGAAATATCATCACAGAATCCTAATAAGTAAATTTGCTAAAATTCAACCCAGACCCTCCTTTACATTCTTGTGTTTCTCATTTCTACACATCTATACCAATGTGAAAACAGGCATCTGCAAAATTCAGTGAAGGAAATGAAAGACACTCAGCAAGCGCATCTATCCAACAATGCCACACTTCCACATGCTCTAAGTTTGAAAACCTTAGCTGTTATCAATAAACTAACTTAAAAAGCTACTCATGCACAAAGTCTGGGTTCTATATGACTTCAGGTATTCTGTAAAAGCTATGTTAAATACATTTTGTCAGTGTAAAAGGAATCAGAGATAATGTTATTTCATATACCTTATTTTCTATTATCTGTGTGTTTTAATGCGTGGCAGTGGCATTCATGTATCAAATGTATTAAAACATAAACATTACCTTTAACTTTAAAGGTATCACTTTGTGTTCAAGAAAAGGAAACTATTTTTACCTCCCAGTCCCGGTCTAAGCCGATTATCGTAACCGTCCAGAAGTCTGTCCAGAATTCTTGTAAAGATGGTGATGTTATTTTTAGCCTCATCTTCTTGGATGTTAGCCAGCACCAACCTAAACAGATAATTTTACAAGCTGATATATATACATATGTGTGTTTCGCAAGTGCCAACATGCTCTTCTTCCTTGATTTGAATTTTAAGGCTCCTTAAGCTGTTAGTGCCACCCATTTTCTCCTTTTTTTTTCAGTTCTATAAATACCAGTGCATCAATGAGGAAGGTAAACAGTCTGTTGTAAATGGGTAATAAACACTAGATTATCAGAAGTGTGAAATCAAAATTATTTCAGATTCCTACCACTCAGCATACTGGGTGAACTATTCATTTCTTTCTAAAATCCATTCCCTAGGATACATTAGGACTGGAGATGATCACATGCAGACAGCACTAGCAATGCTATTCTGCATTTAGAAAGGTACAAAAAACCCAAAGAGATTCCTGAAATAACTCTTCAGGGATCTGAATATTAATTGGAAAATAAATCGCCTCCTTGGAGGCACAAAATTTCTCTATCTTCCTCAGAAATGTCTTTTCCTTTTATGTCTTTTTCTCTTTTAAAGCAAGATGGTTTTCTAACTTTGGGTATACCTCCACCCCATGGCCAAGAGCAATACAGACATCAGGGAAACTCCGCTGGCGGTGCTCCGGGCTCCAGTGCGGCCAGGAGGTGGAGGTGGGCTCTGCGAGGACCAGCAGAGCACGCGAGCTGCAGACAGCCCTGGAGGCGTTCCCCTCCACCTGGCTGGCCTCCGTGGAGAGCAAGGAACAGAGGTCATCCAAGACTAACAGGCCCAGCTACTTCATGTGTGTGCGTGTGCGTGTGCGTGCGTGTGTGTGCGTGTGTGTGATATAAATTTGCAGAAAGAATAAATGGTCTTAAAATATCACCGGAAGAGGGTTAGAAGCAGTGATTTTCTCCATTATTTCTCCCACAGAAAGCCAGAGACCTGATTTTGTGACATCCAGCGATTTGGTGCAGTAGCAACTGGATGTATAAAACAGAATGTCCCTTTTCACTGCCATTTTTTTTCCCCCAGAATGATTCAGAGATTTAAATTACTGGTCCAAAAAAAGAATCATTTATATAATAGAATAAAATACTGGCATGAGCATTACTGGTCAAATATAGAACAGAAAATTAGTAGAAGAAAAATATGGCTAAGTTCTGAGGATTTTCAATGATTATTAACTGACCACGGTTTGTTCACTCCTTTAAAATCAAAGAATATATGTAATTGCATTCTGATCAAGGTGCATTGTCCAAAATATCATTGACAGAATTCATTTGCATTTAAATGATTGTACAGCTAGTAGCTAAAAATAGTCTAAATTCATGAACAAATTGGTAACCAACTTCAAGTAAATATTGTCTTCAGAGAAAATGTTAAAATTGTGGTATAAAGAAACATTTTTAAATTATGTAAGCAAATGATTTCATATGTTGAGCCACAAAAGTTTCTACATTGTCTTAAGCTAATTTTAAAACTAGTCACTAAGATAATCATAAAGTTCCACTTAGAGATTTTCACTGGAATGTGTTTTTTAATTAATGTCACAGTTTCTTTCTAAAGTCAATATCAAGATATTAGATGAGGAGCTATTTTACAAATAAAAATACAACTTCATAAAGAAATTTCTTCTCAAGTCTAGAAAATATTTTCATTCTTTAATAATTACTGAGACAGGAAAATTAAAATTTAAAAGGGAAATAAAAGTATTATAAAATCATAAATACTAATTTTTAAAATAGCAGTTACATGGACATTCATAAGAATCTTAAACTTAATTATTAAGTACTCTGGTATGTTGAAAACCATATCCTAAATTTAGGCAATAAATAGAAAATGCCCACTGATGATAAAAATCAGAAAAGACTGTAATTAAGATGAAGTTGTTGAAAACAACAGAAATTAAAATTTATATTTGTAGAATATAGGTAAAACAGAATTTGTTACATTTTCAAAGTAGTACTGGTTATGGTAGAACCATCTCAGGAATAAAAGACTTCTAAATCAGTAACAGAAAAGTTATTAATAAATCAAGGTTTTGTTTTATTGTTCGTGATTGTGAAGTTGTATACTGCCTCCACCTAGAGGTTTCAGATTCACACATCACTTCGGTTTTCTATGTTGACTAAAAGACCCAAGACCATTTTAGCAAAAAAGGAAAAGAGAGAGAGAAAAAGATTAAGTTGCCACAAATCATTTAGCTTGTGCTTTTCTGTTTGGCTTAAGGAAAACTGATGGCCTCTTTATTGATTCGTGGTGTTATTACTATCACATATAACAATCACTTCAATTATTTGCAAAAATACGCCATCTAAAGAGTATTCTTTTTTCCTGTGATTTTTTTTTAAAGAAAATGTTGTATTCACTTTTGTATTTTATCGCTGCAAACAAGAAGCAGCAAACTTCTAATAGACTTTGCCACTCTACAGTTCTGTTTCCTGCTACTACCTTTTTTCATTAGAAATGGTCCTTCAAAATACTTCAGCTCCTCAAAAGCCACCTCTATCTGCACTGATGGCATTCAGGAAACACACCTTTACCCTGAATTTAAAATGGCAAAACAGTAGAAAACTGTCTCACCTGGCTGGGTCCCACGCCAAGAAAACAAAAAGCAGCAACTGCATATTGGAGCTGTTGGCTTTCGTCTTCATCTCCACTCTTTGTATAATCATGGAAGAAAAACAAAATACACACTTAAAGTTACATGCAGTCATACCGTTCAAATAGCCCAAAAGAATGTCATTTCATCTGGCAACGGAGTTAAAGCAATAGAGACGATTCCAGCGGAGTGTGTGCGGGGTGTGATGATGATGAAGGACGTGTCCCCCCACCCCACCCCCCTTTCTTTTTTTTTCTCTTCACAGAAAGATGACCAAATAATCAGACTTCGCTCTGCCGGGAACTTCCCCCAGCCCCATCGTCAGCAAACGCTGTTTTGTGGTCACACACGTAAAAAGAGCACGCGGGACCCTGCTCTGACATGCGAGCTAGAGAAAGGAATGGGCTGGAGAGAGAGCGTAAGGCGGGGAGAGCCGGGCACTTCCTGCCGCGACCCCCCGGCCAAGACCACCCCCGCACTCACCACCGGGAAAGCAAGGGGCAGCCAGCCCACTCTCCCCGATTATTATTTTTTCATCACGGCGAACTGCCGTTCTCACGACTTCAGTCCTTGGCTCACTTTCAAATAAAAAATGGAATAAAAACACCTCCCTCCCTGCCCATCCACAGTTGCCCAAGACCACATCTTGGAGGCAGCCGGGTTCGGATTAACTGCTGCGAAACGACGCGAGTGACAGCTGCTCCGGAGCCGAGGACCACATCCGAGCCGGAGCGTGAGGCTCCGAGATGCAACCGAGGCAGGCGGGCAGCGGCGACCGCCGTGTGCAAAGTTGAAGACTATAAAGGAGCCAGGCTAACGAGCCGGGCGGCTCGGATCTTAGGAGAGTTGCAAACGGGCTTCTCGCGAGGAGTANAGGCTCCAGCGGGGGCTGCCGGCGCGCGCTGTTGCGGAATCAGGGTCGCCGTGTGTCTGGGCTGGCCCTCGATCCCCGGGGCCTCGCCCGGCCGCCCGCCCCACAGCGCGCCCTGGCTCCGGAGCGACGTGTCTGCCTAGGAGAGGTCGGGCTCCCGCTGGAGGGCGAGGGGACTCTGCCCGCCTGGACTTGGCCAGCGGCGCATCCACGCCGGACCGAGTTCAAGGCAGGTTGCGTGGCATCAGACAGCAGGAAGTTTCTTTGATTTCCCGAGCCCTCTTGATGTACCACTCATTCCTTCACACTCCTGCCATCAGGACCAATTTCCCTTCAAATCTCTGAGGGCTGGAGACTTCCCTGGAGCTGGTCTGTCAAGTCCATTTACACGTTATTGAGAAACTGCTCACTTTCCCCCCAATCTCTTCTCACAAACGTCCTCCCCACCTGGTGATCAAGCTCAACCAACAACTCTGAGAGAAGTTTACGTCCTTCCCACCCCACCCACCTCAACCCCCAGCAAAAAAAAAAAAAAGAGGGGGGTCTGCGACCTGCTGTGGTTTTACTACTTCTGGCAATTCTTTCTGCAGTGGGGGAAAGGGGACGGGTTTTAAGGCTTTTACACCCTTTAAGGGTGCTTGCTGGCGAGAGCCCTGCTGTAATTTCAGTCCCAACGTATGCTTTCAGAATTGTGTGAGCCTCGTTTCTTTCTACCTTACAGTATCTGAGGCGATTAAATTCAAAGGTGCAGCTTGAGCAACGAAAGAGACATGTTCCTCTTTGTACTGCACACAGACAGAATGTCATACACACCCCACTAAGGCAAAGCACAGAGGGTGTTCGTCTTTTCGTGAAGTTTTTATAACTGTTAGACATTTTAAAAGGAAAAAAATAAATATGTTGATATGTTTCTGTCCTTTTGCATTCAGAGTCCGTACATGCCAAACACTTCAATAGTTAGTTATGAACCCAAAATTCAGGTGGATTTCCTAGATGGTGCAGTTTTCCTAACAACAGGCACTTCTACAGTAAATTTTAGCTTTGCTTTGAAGATTATGTGAGGAGAGTGAAACCTTTACATTGTAAATATTTCAAGCTGTTCTTTTTAACCTATTAATCACCTCTTTCTGAATGACCATTTAATAAGCTGCAGCCTAAACAAACATTTGCTCTAGTTAGCTGCCTCTGTGAAGAATGGAACACCACCCAGCTTTCTCCTCCATCATTAATATTCCCTTCCTGACTTGCTCATTGTAGAGTCTAATTGAAATTCACAAAGATAAAAAGCATGCCATTTAAAACCTTGCAACTAGGGAATCTAAACATCTACTTGGTCTGAATGCTTCATTTCTTACTGTATTTTCCTATTTTTCATTTCTATGAGTCAATCTTCATTAATATCTATCCCTTTTCCATTAATATTACTACTAAATTGTTTATATTTTAATAATGTAAGTTGAACAGCCCATGGTTTCTTTCCAACTTTAATTGCTGCACTACAAAATTTCTCTTTCATGGACACACAATTTTTGTAAATATGTTCAAAAGTTATTTTCCTACTTACCACTATAGTCTTTTCCTTGGATGCTAATGGTGAATTATGTATTTTAACTTTGTTTAACTCAAAATTTGTGTTTATTGAAATTTGTTCTAAAAAATAACCTTTACCATTGGTATCCTTAGTAAATTTGTAATCTCATTGCCATAAATACCCATTTATGTGGAAGTTCACAGAGTTCAAGCTGTTTAGGATGATTTTCACCATTTGCTTAAAAAAAAAAAAAAAACACTGTATGCTAGATCAGTCAATAGAATTGGATTTACACTTAACTTGAGAGAGACTCAGGAAAAGCTAGATTCAAAAAATTCATTATAAAATCATGATTTTTGGTTCTTCCCCACAAAATGCTTTGCAATTTTATTGAAGCCGAATAGCTATGATTTAAACTTCAAAGCACATTAAAGGAACTGAAAATCAGAAAAGCTGATTGCAAGCAGCAGACCTCTACTGTTATTGTTATATATACATTCATATTTCACGGTGTTAGTAGTTCAGCCAAATTTCTTCTAGGATTGTCCAGCTTCCACAAATATCTGACAAACCCAGCCTGATAGCTTTCTTTCCTCTCCGTGATGGAGTGAAGCACATTGCCCATGATTCAAGAGGCAGCCTGGATAGGTCATGACTAAGCTCTTCCTGCCCACTCGTTGTGGAGCAGGTCCTAAGGCAAGCAGCCCTGCAGAAGTTTCAACTAATTGGTAGCCAGTAAATCCATCCCTGCCCAGGCCAAGGCTGTGCCAGACCTTCTGTTTGAACGTGTTTGAATTACTCTCCCACTAATTGGATTGAGGGGGTCACTTCTTATAGAGTTACCATCCCTAAGAATCCAATCCCTAAGGAGAGTTCCACAGAAAAAAGAAAATGAATAATTGGGAGATCATGGTGTCTGAATTTGTTTCCTGATCTCTCACAATATTGTACAGTTTTAAAATTCATTTAAAATTTAAAATTCACAAAACTGTTCATGTTTTTTAGCAGATATTTTGCAGAGCTTCCTTTTTAGGGCTCAGCTATATTGAGATTTGGCACTACTGCTCTGGGGAACTACTACTCCGTAGTCTATATATAGGGGATATCATGAATATTCAGATTCTATACCATAATGTGTGTGTGTATATATATGTGTGTGTGTGTGTATATATATAATACATGTGCATATATATGATACATACATATGTGCTTACAAATATACAGATATCCATCTGTAGAAAGATAGATGCCTGAATTAATAAGATAAGAATAAGGATTTTAATGAGAATAGCATTTATATAGTACATTCCCACAAAATGCTTTCAGTCTCACGACCGCGTGATTTGATCTTAGTGATTTTTGCGTACTTTGAAGAGAAGTGCGAGAAGTGCTTCAACAAGAACAGCATCTCGCCATATTTACAAATTTTAAAACATCACCGTGTATTTCATGTGATAAATTTATATACATTTTACATTCTTATGTGAGTCATCCATTCAAAGGAGAATATGTATTTGTGAAAGATAGGAACTAAAGCATCGATCATCCTGTTTTCACAGGATAATCATGGAATTAAATACTATTCTGTACTCTTTCCCCAGAATACTTTACTATTGATTTCAGAGTGCTGTCTGTTCTCACATGTTCACCACATTATCATTAAAAAAAAAAAAAAAACTGATTCAAATGCCCATTTGGTCATTCTCAAGTGAAAATTATGGCTTGGTCAAGCTCCATTTTCCCTGTAAGTTGAATTTATATAGATGGTTCTAACATGTGCACTAGACTCCAAGAATTTTCAAGAAGAGACAGCCGGAAAGTGGGAGTAACTAGCCTTCTAAACAAATAATTCCAAGACTACTCTTTTACATTAATGTATCTAGGTCACATTTCATTAGAGCTAAATATATCACATATACTAGCTAAGATAAACTAAGCACATTACCTTCTTCAAACAGAGTAATTCTGTGTTTATAAAATAATGTTACAAATTTTCTTCCAACTTGCAAATCAAACTTACCATGCATTCAAAATATCCTAGTGATTTCTAAGATTTTAAAATCTAACTACTGACATCAGAGTAATTTGCAGAAGAAATTCTTTTGCTATCCCTTTGTAAATTTATAGATAGAATTAACTTTCATGTTATTCAATTGCTTCCTAAAACAAAGGAAACGTTCCAGTAATGCAAGCCAAAAACTCCCTCATTGGAAAATATACTGGGCAGTTCACTGAAGGATAAACTGCTACATGATTTGCAGCTTTTGCCTGGGAGGCATGTTCCCTAAATAATAATCATTGTAATGAAAATAAAAGTAAACCTATAATGTCTTCATTAATACAAAAGCTTAGATCCCATTATAAATACTTTGCATGTATTTATTTAATTAATCTTCACAAGTAAGTATTATTCCCGCTTCACTGATGCAAAACTTGTGGCACAGAAAAAGTAAGCTAGCTCAGGGTATTCCAGGAGGGAAGCCAGGAGTAGAGCCCAAGTAATAAGTTTCCAGAGTCTCCATGCCTAATTATTATACTGTATTACCTCTACATTGGTGCTTAACAGCCAAAATTCGAGTTTCTTTTATGTAGTCTCACCACTGAAGCTTGAACAAAATACTTAACTGATGATGTGCTGGCGTCTTCTTAGTAGTCTAAGTCTGTTAATAACAGCCATATATTCATTTAGCCAGTCTTACTGAGCGTCTGCTATGTGCAAGACCCCATTAGGGGCCACTCAAGATATGAGGATGGTTAAAGTACGGTCCCTACCCTCC